GTTAGAATACACATGTGGAAAAACAATGGGTTTCATTTAGATCGGGGATGTCAAAGTCAAATACATCAGAGGCAAAAACAACAAATGAGCTCCAAGCCGAGGCCCAGACTGGTTCAAAGTTTATTTAAATATATTAAAATGATGCATTAAACCTGTTGGACCAAGACCTAACACAGCGGACCGTATTGTTTCTAATGATTAAATGAAAAATCCAATATTGTCTTATGTCTCTGTGCAGCCGGTTCTAAAACTAATCCAATATCATTCCTGAGGCTAAGATCATTCATTCTTTGACTTTGACGCCCATGATTTAAAGCTGCAGTAACTGACGCTGGCCTCGCTCTTTCTGCTACCCCTCCCCACACGGAGCTTTCACCCCCCACTACCCCCTTAGTCAGCCGCACAAGTGCTGTTTACGGAGCTCATGTCTCACATGCATCGCACATTTGATCGTGGCGTGACCATAGAACGATAGAACCAGGAAGTGCGGAGGAACGAGACTTTCTTTTGTCTGTTTCTCTGAGTAAGCAGTAACCGGAAACAAAGACACAGAAGTTTCAGGTTCACCTCCGCCGCTTGTTCACCTCAGCTGTCTGTGCTAACCACAGACCTGTGGCTTTTCTCAAGAAAGTGGGGGCCAGTGGTCCGCTGTGATTGGTCACAATCTGGTCCTGAAACACATTCTCTTCCTTGTTGCGCGAAAACTCAAAATAAAATGACACCCCAACAAAAACCTAGCTCTACTTATTCTTCAAAAGGACGTACAGTATATCCCAATGCACTGCATGGATATGGATTGAACTTTTGTAATGAATACAAAAATAAAGTGAGGTAATGCAGTTCTGTGACAAACCTGGCAACCGACTGGGCTTCGGGGTATCGCCCTAACAGCGCCAAACACTCGGCTTTGAGGATTTTGAAGCGATGACACGCCGAGGCCCAACTGAGGGCTCGGTCCATGCAGTAAACCACCTGCAAAAAAACAAGCAAGTTCAGAGGTTGGGAAAAACAAAATAATTAAATTTAAAAAAAGACAGAGCTACACAGATCTGTATGAAAGAACAACACTAAAAAGCAAAGGAGAACATAGTAATAGTATTATCATTATTTTCACATTATTGTTTTAATGCAATTCTTATTTTCTATTTGTTATTGTGAAATTCTGTGTGAGCTCCTGGGACAACGCAAGTTACCTTCAATAAAGTCTGTATAAGTCTAGGAGTAGTCGCAGTAGTTTATTTTCTTCGGCCAAAATGTACATTAGATCTCAGGTCACATGTTTTCAAAAATCGTATAAACATTTTACACCAAGAAAAAAACCCTGAATCTTACAGAATACCCGAGTGTTTTGAGTCTGTTCGGTCCAATTCTACATCAAATATAATAATGGGTCCTTCAAAAAAACTGAGGTTTTAGGATGCATTTGATATTAGTCATTTTGAATGAATGAATGAATACAATTTCGAGCCATGGCAGACAAGAACAAATAACAACAACAGAATAGAAAAAAAACAAAAAAATAAAATTAAGCTCGAAAAAGGAGTGGGAAGAAGTAAAGACTTCATTCTGAAAATCTGTTTTTTACCTTTCTGAAATCTCTTTTCTCGAAGCTGGAATCAGCCATTCGCTCCAAGTCCAGGATCGTAGAAGCGTGTTTATTCTGAGAGGAAGCAAAACATCAGGTCTGAGTTAAAGGGCCCTAATCTGTCCTCATTAAAGGGCCCTAATCTGTCATCATCAAAGGGCCCTAATCTGTCCTCATTAAAGGGCCCTAATCTGTCATAATAATAAACGGCTCTTTTCCAATACTTCTTTAACTGATAACAGTAGTTCAGAGATATTTGAATTTCTAAATTACTTTTCCAGCCTCTAAATCTTGTTATTGTTTTCATTTCGATGTCCCGCCCTCCACCGTTTCACCAATCAGAAAGTCTGTGATCCGGGCGCCAGAACTCACCGCGTGGAGCTAATCTCACTGGTAAAGTACCATGTGGCGCAGAACTAAAAAAGGTCTCGTTATGATTCTCAAATCATTAACGACAAAACAAGGAATAAAACCAGGATTTCTATCTTTGTGAAAAAGGTGTTGGTTATAGATTTGTTGTTGACAAAACTCTTGTCTATTCAGCTGTTATGGTCCCAGCTGGATTCGTCTGCATATCTGGCAACCTGAGTCAGGGAGAGTGGGAGAGGATGCATGTTTACATATACTTCTTTAAAGTGGTTCTCACCCCCGCTCCTCGGAGTTTACGTCACTCACATTTCCTGTTTAAATCTTCCTCTAAATGGGCGTGGCCTGGAGGACTAAAGGGGGCGTGAACGAGACTGGGCCGTTTACATTGCTTCTGTGCCAGTGTTGGCGCCAGATTCAAAATTCAAATGTAGTAACACAGGTCGCCAGCAGATGGCGCCTCACAGACGGTTTTAGGCAGAAAGTTTTACTTTCAACTAATTTGCACCAAAGTGACAAAATTATGACCAGGATATGTAGACAACACTATTGGACACTCATTTATACCGTTTAGAAGCAAAAAAAAGTGGATTTGAGGGTGAGTTGTCCTTTAAGTCCAAGTTAAACAATGAGAGTGGATCACCTCTTGTAGAGCTTCTCTGTTGCTCGGCTCCAGCTCCAGGACCTTCTGAAAAGAGCGACCGGCCGCCATGGCGTTTCCCAAAGAGAGGTGGCACTTCCCCTCACGCAGATGACCCTGAGGAGGAGAGAACGTGTGTTATGCAAAACTTGAATCATGCAAGTAAGTAATATTTATTTATTTAGCACATTTTTACAGACCAAGGTCACACACAGCACTTCACAAAGTTCAGATTTAGTTTAATTCTCTAAGAACACACTGGTCCATCAAAGCCTCTGACCAAACACCATTCACTTGTTACATTCAGACCTGTTGTTCATGTTTTTAGAGGTAGGAGAAACCCCGTTCAAGGACCCCGTTCTGAACGGGATTCGAACCCTGGATCTTCTTGCTGAGAAGCGAGAATGCTAACCACTCAGCCACTGTGTCGCCCACATGTGTGTATATTAGACCTGCCTTCATAAAACAGTCGTCCAGGCGCACTGCCTGCTGGGAATCCTCCAACGCCTCCCGGAAGCGGCACAGCATCATGAGGGTGGCTGCTCTGTTGCCGTAGTAACTGGCATTTTTGGGGCAAGCATCTGAAAACAAAGAGCCACATTAGTAGAAGAAGGCTTAAAATATAAAAGTAAATAAATGCAGTTGTTTTTACCAATGGCCTTGGTGTAGAAGTTGAACGCTTCAGAGTAATCTTTGTTGCTGTAGAAAGCATTTCCTTGTTCTTTGAAGCCCTCAGCTTGTCTGGAGGCAGAGAAAACTCACATTAGTATACACACACACACTGACGTCACACACACACTAACTGACGTCACACACACCAACTGACGTCACACACACACCAACTGACGTCACACACACACACTGACGTCACACACACACTAACTGACGTCACACACACCAACTGACGTCACACACACACCAACTGACGTCACACACACACCAACTGACGTCACACACACACCAACTGACGTCACACACACACCAACTGACGTCACACACACACCAACTGACGTCACACACACCAACTGACGTCACACACACACCAACTGACGTCTCACACACACACACTGACGTCTCACCACCAACTGAAGTCTCACACACCAACTGACGTCACACACACACACACACACCAACGGACGTCACACACACACACACCAACTGACGTCACACACACACACACTGACGTCTCACACACCAACAGAAGTCTCACACACCAACTGACGTCACACACACACACACTGACGTGTCACACACCAACTGACGTCACACACACCAACTGACGTCACACACACCAACTGACGTCACACAACTGACGTCACACACACCAACTGACGTCACACACACCAACTGACGTCACACACACACCAACTGACGTCACACACACACCAACTGACGTCACACACACACCAACTGACGTCACACACACACCAACTGACGTCACACACACACCAACTGACGTCACACACACACCAACTGACGTCACACACACACCAACTGACGTCTCACACACCAACAGAAGTCTCACACACCAACTGACGTCACACACACACACACTGACGTGTCACACACCAACTGACGTCACACACACCAACTGACGTCACACACACACCAACTGACGTCACACACACACCAACTGACGTCACACACACACCAACTGACGTCACACACACACCAACTGACGTCACACACACACCAACTGACGTCACACACACACCAACTGACGTCACACACACACCAACTGACGTCACACACACCAACTGACGTCACACACACACACTGACGTCACACACACACACTGACGTCACACACACACACTGACGTCACACACACACACTGACGTCACACACACACACTGACGTCACACACACACACTGACGTCACACACACACACTGACGTCACACACACACACTGACGTCACACACACACACTGACGTCACACACACACACTGACGACACACACACACACTGACGTCACACACACACACTGACGTCACACACACACACTGACGTCACACACACACACTGACGTCACACACACACACTGACGTCGCACACACACACTGACGTCGCACACACCAACTGACGTCACACACACACACTACATAATTACGACTACATACTGTAGTACTTGTAGGTATTTTAAATACTCCAAATACTGCACTAGGTACGTGTGGAGAAAAAGGTGTAGAATGGGAGAGAACTGTCAGATTCTCAGGCCTTTCTACAAAACTCTGAGTTCAGGGAAAGTCCTTATAATCTGCTCATTTTTGTTCAAGAGTTGGGGAAAGATGGAGACGAGGTCGACACCACCACATGTTTATAAATGCAAGATTTTGAGTGAGACAAACTGTTACAGAGCAGAGGTTATAAAGTGTGTCTCTGGAGGGGCTGCCTCTGGATTCCCCTGAATGGGAAGGCATCTCTGTAGACCGCTTCCTCCACAAACCGGCAAAAAATTGGAAAAGGAAGAAAATAGCCTGGTCGTACCATACCATAGTACAAATGACATTTCGTACTAAGGTCTGGAGGTGCTCCATTGAGCTCCGTGAACAGGTGGGAGGGGTTAACTCCTCCTGAGTTTACCGTGACGTATTTGGGGCGCCCAAGCCTGTTGTTAGCATTTAGCCTAGCCATCTTCTTTGCCGCTAACGAAGCCCGTGGGGACAATTTTTCCAGCGATTACATTTGCTAAACATTACCCTTGCTCCGGCTTCCATTTCTTGATAGAACCAGACCGGATTACTTTACTATCGCAGTTTTCGGCATTACCAAACTACAACCTGCCCGTTCGACGCAAACTCTTGACATCACCCACAACTAACTAGAACTTCCACGCTCTCTGAATGGCCGGTCGAAATTCAACCGATTGTAATCGCTACCACAGGGACTAGACCCAGACGTTACCTGCAGTGATTATATGGAATGTACGGATGGATAAGGCAAAGCTAGAAGAAAATGGAAAAGGAAGAAAATGGATGTATAGAACCTATTGCAACTGTGACAGATCACCATCAAAGTGAAAATGTCCCCCAGCCCTCCCCGTCTGGAGCCGCTTCAGCCCTGCCCGTCTGAAGCCGCTTCAGTCCTGCCCGTCTGAAGCCGCTTCAGTCCTGCCCGTCTGGAGCCGCTTCAGTCCTGCCCGTCTGGAGCCGCTTCAGTCCTGCCCGTCTGGAGCCGCTTCAGTCCTGCCCGTCTGGAGCCGCTTCAGTCCTGCCCGTCTGGAGCCGCTTCAGCCCTGCCCGCCTGGAGCCGCTTCAGTCCTGCCCGTCTGAAGCCGCTTCAGTCCTGCCCGCCTGAAGCCGCTTCAGTCCTGCCCGTCTGAAGCCGCTTCAGTCCTGCCCGTCTGAAGCCGCTTCAGTCCTGCCCGTCTGGAGCCGCTTCAGTCCTGCCCGTCTGAAGCCGCTTCAGTCCTGCCCGTCTGGAGCCGCTTCAGTCCTGCCCGTCTGGAGCCGCTTCAGCCCTGCCCGCCTGGAGCCGCTTCAGCCCTGCCCGCCTGAAGCCGCTTCAGTCCTGCCCGTCTGGAGCCGCTTCAGCCCTGCCCGCCTGGAGCCGCTTCAGCCCTGCCCGTCTGGAGCCGCTTCAGTCCTGCCCGTCTGGAGCCGCTTCAGCCCTGCCCGCCTGGAGCCGCTTCAGCCCTGCCCTCCTGGAGCCGCTTCAGCCCTGCCCTCCTGGAGCCGCTTCAGCCCTGCCCGCCTGGAGCCGCTTCAGCCCTGCCCGCCTGGAGCCGCTTCAGCCCTGCCCGCCTGGAGCCGCTTCAGCCCTGCCCGCCTGGAGCCGCTTCAGCCCTGCCCGCCTGGAGCCGCTTCAGCCCTGCCCGCCTGGAGCCGCTTCAGCCCTGCCCGCCTGGAGCCGCTTCAGCCCTGCCCGCCTGGAGCCGCTTCAGCCCTGCCCGCCTGGAGCCGCTTCAGCCCTGCCCGTCTGGAGCCGCTTCAGCCCTGCCCGCCTGGAGCCGCTTCAGCCCTGCCCGCCTGGAGCCGCTTCAGCCCTGCCCGCCTGGAGCCGCTTCAGCCCTGCCCGTCTGGAGCCGCTTCAGCCCTGCCCGCCTGGAGCCGCTTCAGCCCTGCCCGTCTGGAGCCGCTTCAGTCCTGCCCGCCTGGAGCCGCTTCAGTCCTGCACCTGTCCTCGTTCTACAACCTGAGTCCAGAGCTGCGCGGCCTTGGTCCTCGTTCTGTAGCTTAGGTCCTGGATCAACAGCCGTCCGTTCGTGTGGAGAGAATGAAACCTCTCTCAATGTGGTTCTCCCTGAGGTTTCTCACATTTCTACAACATTTATGAACATTCTCCCTTTAGAGAGACCAATACTGTTTGATTCTCTGATCTATGTCGGCGATTAACGATTTTATTAGAAAGGTATAAAAAGGAGCATTTTCTAAAATTTTAGGAAACAACCGCCCACTTCAATTTTTGAACTAAACTCTCTGGTCTTATTGGACGAGCACGAATCACCAGAACGATTGACAACTGGGAGGACCAATAGTCTTCATGCTCCACCGGGAAGTAGAAAATCCTCCTGTTTACCTTCAAGTACTCAGATAAATACTGCTGTGATTTAGGGCGATACAAGAACACGTTTTGTGAATGATGTTATTTAAAGTCGGTAAATGTAAGACACGGTTATGTATGTATCTATCTACATTAGAATCTGTTTAAATGAATATAACATCAGCCCAGAGACAACAGGTGGATATTAGCATCTTCGTTATAACCTGGTACAATATATCTCTCTGTGTACATGTTTAATTGTACACTGTCCCAGCTCAAGTACATACCACACCAAGTTGAATTGATGTTTTATTTATATCATTAATACATTTAGTCTATACATTATTGGCAGTTTGACATGGCAATAGTTACTTCTTCAGCCCTCACTATAATAAGGATAATACGTTTACATCGTGAAGGAGACTGGCTTTAAAGCAGCTCTAAGGAACTTTCTAGAACCCCATGCACGAGACTAAACCCCGCGTGCATCTCTCACGACCACGTGGGCAGAGGATGGAGCCAAAACACTTCCATGTCAAAAACACGACTTATGTGTGTTTTTTTTAATCCAAAATTGACGTTTTTTTTTTTATTCTTGACGTATTTGGATCAAAGTGGAGCAGAAAGACCCGGATGTTGGGATCAGCTCATGACATATTTACACACACATACACATTAAACACAGTATTATTCAGGGCAATGATAGATATATATGTGTTAAATATGTTTTATTTGGCTGTGGTCGTTCGCCAGAGGAGGAGTCTGTGTCTCAGATCACTCCGCGCGGATCAGAGAAATAACAGTTCATTTATGCTCCATTTTTTGCCCTAAGACGAAAACGCAAATAACGCAGAGATTGTGGTCAGTACTCACCGTTCTAAATCCAGCACATTGTGGATTTGTGGCTCCATTTCCACCGGTACGTCGATGTCAACAGCGGCCATTTTTTTTCTGGAAAGGACGAAGGTGACGTCACATCCGGCCTTCGTTACGCTGCTGCAGAGTATTTTTTATTCATTGAAAGTCTTTTTATATATAGTGTACGCACAAACACACACTACTAATAAATAAATAATACAAATTCAAATATATATAATAATTGTAATAATTAATCCTACAAACTTCAAAATGGAAAACATGTTTAAAGGAACAAGCTTTTCATCTATTCTCTTTTTATTTTAATCTGTTTTATCCTACGTTGATCTTTATGTATGCACACTTTTCTGTGTATTTGTACATTCACCCCATAGAAGAAGAATTATTTATTTTAGACCCACGATTCACCCCGAGTGTTTTATATCAGCAAATAAATAATACACCTGTGTCTCTATGAACCCTGCGCTCTTCCCCATTTGTTGTCACTAAGTACAAATATCGGGTTATACAGTATTATAGTATATTCACGTGTTTTTTTCCATGTTTTGTCCTGAATACTAGATATTTTTATTACGACTGCACTAGCTCTCTGCCTCTTCTTTTATATAGAAGTAGCTCTCCGATTGAAAAAGGTTGGAGACTCCAGGCGTAGACAGTAGAAAGAGTATATACAGTCATATATACAGAGTATATACAGTCAAATATACAGAGTATATACAGTCAAATATACAGAGTATATAGAGTATATACAGTCATATACACAGAGTCTATACAGTCATATATACAGTCCTATATACAGAGTATATACAGTATATACAGTCATATTTACAGTCATATATGTATATGTAGAGTATACTGTCATATATACAGAGTATATAGAGTATATACACAGTCTGTGGCAGACTCACAGCTTTGAGATCCACCAGTTCTTCTACTCAGCATCAGAATAAACACATTCTAGTGTTTGGAAATGATTGGTTTCATGTTTACATAAATATATTCTGTCACAGGTTAAACCCAGTTAAGACTGTCATAATAGTTTCTCACTGACCCAGTTTCCAAACCACCACCAGGTGGCGACAAAACATGGTTTTCTCTGCGGACATTCTTCTGAGCAGTTTAAAAATATACTGTACATGCACTGAATAAAGAGACAACACAATTTTGTACAAAAACAACTATTTATACTTATTTATACTCATAGAATACAATATTGACATTTTATCATCTCATAATGTACATTATTGCAAGTAGGAATTATTTAATTATAATGTAATCAATCCGTTAACACTTAAAATTACATATTGCTTAAAATGACTCATCACAAATGTGAGATGGAAATGTAATAACACTTTTAAATACTATTATATAAAAAAACACTGTGATCATGACAATAAATAAAATACACATATGTTCCCTCTATTTATAAATAAATGACTTTATTTATATCCATTCAGCACAGTCTCTTATCGTAGTCTACATAATACTATGATATTCTTGGCATTGTGTGTGTTCTTTCTGATTGTCACTTAACTTCAAAGAAAAGACGTGTCGTGTATAAAACAGAAACAACAAATACTGGTTTGGCTTCATGTGCTTTAAGTTCTTCTTCAGTTTCAAAAGTGGTTCCAGGACAGGTGGGTTTCCGATACATGGAGCTCTATCACTAAACTTTGATCAAGAGGGTTGAAAGAAAAGGGATTTGGCACTAACATTTAAACACAACAACATCCAAGTCTTATAATAGCCGTATAATGAAAAGAAACGATGCTATGGCTTCCAGAGAGGTCCCGGAGAACATGCACAAGTCTATTCTTAACAACGGCTGAGCGAGGGTCCATCAGAGGGAGAGGCGTCAGAGGGAGAGGGTCTGATCTCAATCCTCTCCCGGGAACTGTGCATATGTGACCAGCAGCGGCCCCTGTGCTTCATCTGAAACCAGTCTGTCCTTCCATGGCTCAGTTTAGGTCTCCAGGTCTTGGGGGTCCGTGTCAGGCGCTCACTGGAAAAATCCCTTGGAAAAAATAAGAAAAAAACCATAAGTAAACAAGTAAAAAACATGACTTGACAATATTTCTGAAAATAATAAAAATAATACCAGTAAGTAAGTAATGTTTATGTGAATAGAGTCACAAAGAGCTTTACAATTGTTGCCATTTGTCTCTCTCCACACAGAGAGCAGGGTCTCCAGTACAGACCAATCGTACATGTTTATAGTATAGGGAAACCGGAGCACCTGGAGAAAACCTACGCAGACACGGGAAGAACATGCAAACTCCACTCAGAAATGTCCTGTTGCAACCGGGATTCGAACCCAGAACCTCCTTGCTGCCACCATAACGCCAAAATGAGTTGCTGACCCATAACTTATTATATCTAAATAAGAAAGGTCTGGAAATAAAAAAAAAAATACTTAAAACTACCTTAAAAACTTACTGCTCAGACTTTTTTCTCTAAGATTTTTAAGTATTATTATCTTAAACCCAGTAAAATATTCTGATGATTAAACAACTTAATAAAAATAAAAAACGCATTATTTATGTTATTTTTAGTGAATAAATCTCACCAAGATTTCACGTTTCTTTTTTCAGTGCTAGTACGGAGAGAAGATGATGGGAGCGTGTGTGGCCCTCAGAGGCCCCGGGGCCGGCCTGAACAGTGTCGGGCTGATGAGCGGCCCCTGGATGATGGCGGCGGGGCCCGGGGGGAGGCGCAGAGCCAGGGGTCCGGACGCCATAGAGCACAGAGCAGCGGCGTGGTTCAAGTGGCTGGTCAGGAAGCCCGGCGGAAAGGCCTTGGACAGCTGCTTCTGGAGGGCCAGCTTCGTCTGAACACAACAGGAAGTGAGGAACGAAAACAACAGGAAGTGAGGAACTAAACACAGAACATCCCCCTGAGCTCTCTGTCTCTCTCTGTGTGTCTCTGTGTATGTCTGTCTCTCTCTGTGTGTCTCTCTGTGTCTCTCTCTCTGTGTGTCTCTGTGTGTCTCTGTGTATCTCTCTGTGTCTCTCTGTCTCTCTGTGTATCTCTCTGTGTGTCTCTGTGTGTCTCTCTGTGTCTCTCTGTGTGTCTCTCTGTGTCTCTCTGTCTCTCTGTGTATCTCTCTGTGTGTCTCTGTGTGTCTCTCTGTGTCTCTCTGTGTGTCTCTCTGTGTCTCTCTGTCTCTCTGTGTATCTCTCTGTGTGTCTCTGTGTGTCTCTCTGTGTCTCTCTGTGTGTCTCTCTGTGTCTCTCTGTCTCTCTGTGTATCTCTCTGTGTGTCTGACTCTCTCTGTGTCTCTCTGTGTGTCTCTCTGTGTCTCTCTGTGTGTCTCTCTGTGTCTCTCTGTCTCTCTGTGTATCTCTCTGTGTGTCTGACTCTCTCTGTGTCTCTCTGTGTCTCTCTGTCTCTCTGTGTGTCTGACTTTCTCTGTGTGTCTCTCTGTGTCTGACTCTCTCTGTCTCTCTGTGTCTCTCTGTGTGTCTCTGTGTGTCTCTGTGTCTCTCTGTGTGTCTCTCTGTCTCTCTGTGTGTCTCTCTGTGTGTCTCTCTGTGTCTCTCTGTGTGTCTCTCTGTGTCTCTCTGTCTCTCTGCGTGTCTCTCTGTGTCTCTCTGTCTCTCTGTGTGTCTCTCTGCGTGTCTCTCTGTCTCTCTCTGTGTGTCTCTCTGTCTCTCTCTCTGTGTGTCTCTGTGTGTGTCTCTCTGTCTCTCTGTGTATCTCTCTGTGTGTCTGACTCTCTCTGTGTGTCTCTCTGTGTCTGACTCTCTCTGTCTCTCTGTGTGTCTCTGTGTCTCTCTGTGTGTCTCTGTGTCTCTCTGTGTGTCTCTCTGTCTCTGTGTGTCTCTCTGTGTCTCTGTGTGTCTCTCTGTGTCTCTTTGTGTCTCTCTGTGTGTCTCTCTGTGTGTCTCTCTGTCTCTCTGTGTGTCTCTCTCTGTGTGTCTCTCTGTGTCTCTGTCTCTCTCTGTCTCTCTGTGTCTCTGCGTGTCTCTCTGTGTCTCTCTGTGTCTCTCTGTCTCACTCTGTGTTTCTCTGTGTCTCTCTGTGTTTCTCTGTGTGTCTCGGTGTCTCTGTGCAGTTTGTTTGGGTAAAGAGCTGCAGTTTGGAAGAGAATGAGGCTATATTCAGAAAGATGTATTCTGGGAGCAACCTGCAAAAACTACCACCTACTCAGTGATACTAAATGCTAAGCTAAATGCTAAGCTAAATGCTAAGCTAAATGCTAAGCTAAATGTCGTTTTTGCAGTCGTTCGAGCACTTTTCACTTTTTCTATTTAAAGCTCATTTATGTAAATCTGCTGACAGCCACCAGGCCCCACATGCATCTTTATTCATGGATTGTGTACGTCCAAAAGTGTGTTACCGCTAAGAGGGTGCTGGGCTGCAGTTTGTTGTACGGGGTGAACTTGGGCTTGACAGGTTTCCCGGCCAGACGCTCTTTGTGTCTCCTGCTGTTCATGTGCTGCAAAAGACACAAAACCATTCACACAAAAAGTTTAACGTTTGTGGGTCTGGAATCACTTAAAGGGGACATATCATGAAAAATCCACTTTTTATGCCTTAAAGGAATAGTTCACCGTTTGTACATACTGACATATGTTCTTACCTTACCTTAGACTAGTTAATACGTACCTGTCTGGTCTTAGTCCGTGCGCTCTGTCATGCAAACGGAGCAAAAACGGGAGCACAACCGCAGCCTCCTCTGTATATTTTGTAGCACCAAAAGGTAGCTCCCGCTAGAAGCTACCAAACTCTTCCAAGTGTTCCCTATTAAATGTATATAGTTACGTGACGTGTTACACTGCAAAGTATAGTAACACAGAAATGTAACAGTCGATTTTCTCAGCGGATAAAACGGGTACTATATTGTGAGGCGTAGTAATCTGAGGAGCGCTACGTCCGCGCACTAACTTCTCTCCGGAGACTTCTCTCTCGCTCACTTCCGTCAATAGAAGCAGCGTGACTTGTAGTACACACAGTAGCAGCGAGAGAGAAGTCTCCGGAGAGAAGTTTGTGCGCGGACGTAGCGCTCCTCAGATTACTACGCCTCACAATATAGTACCCGTTTTATCCGCTGAGAAAATCGACTGTTACATTTCTGTGTTACTATACTTTGCAGTGTAACACGTCACGTAACTATATACATTTAATAGGGAACACTTGGAAGAGTTTGGTAGCTTCTAGCGGGAGCTACCTTTTGGTGCTACAAAATATACAGAGGAGGCTGCGGTTGTGCTCCCGTTTTTGCTCCGTTTGCATGACAGAGCGCACGGACTAAGACCAGACAGGTACGTATTAACTAGTCTAAGGTAAGGTAAGAACATATGTCAGTATGTACAAACGGTGAACTATTCCTTTAAATGCCTTATGTTGTGTAGTTGGAGCCTCTAGAAGTGCAAAAAAGTTTAAATCAGTCTCTTCATGGGTTGCAGAGAACACTTCATATTCTGTTTGGGTAAGATTTTTCAACCCGTTTTGATTTTGCCATTCTCTATTACGTGTTTAGAATTATTATATATAAGCATTGCTTCAGCCTATTCCTTTTTTGGTTGAATATTTTTGTTTTGTTGTTAGTGTTTGTAAATTTAAATGCATCAACCAAAATAAACCATTCATTCATTCATTCATTACGTCACAGTATTTGCAGCGAGACTGCCATATAAGGGCATGGGCGTCTAACAAAACACTTCGGCCCAGCCCTCCTCTACTGTGCATCACTTCGAATTTGTAGTCCAAGCTCAAGGATGCCAGCGCACAGGGCTGGACTGGCCACCGGGCGTACCGGGCAATGCCCAAAGGCCGATGCCCATATTTGGGCTGGTCTGTCTGCCTCATACAAAACACATGTTTATGAGAAGTGTAAATCCGTTGAGAATTGTTGGAGCGGGGCGCGCATATCCGCGGGGCACCTGCTGTATGTACTCGAACGGGATTCCGCCACCTCAGCGGCCGCAGTGTTCCGGGGCATCTGCGGCCGCTTTGTAATGAGCAGCTTCTGCGTCCAGCGGCTGCGAGAGGCTGTGAGCGTCCAGCCGTCCAATCCGCTCGCAGCCGCTCCACCGTGTTGTGGCTGAGCGCGCAGTCTCAACGTGGCCATGTACCCAACCCCATAAACGCGCACAGGACCATGCGTGTCTTTGAGTAATCTGTGCACCCAATAAATACACTGCTGCAGGAAACAGTCCGCGTCTCTCTCTCTCTCTCTCCTCGAAGCGCGATTAAACACCCTAAATAAAGCTCTGATACCTACATTTTGCATTGCATTAAAAGTTCATGTTTGAGCCCAAAAGTAATATGTTGTGAACAAATTAAACAGATTTAGAGCCAGCAAATGGCTGACAATATGCATTTCAGTCTTTTTTGACCAATTCTCATCCCTGTAACAAACAATAGTGTTGTCTGTGTCACCTCCCTCACTCTGAGACATGTTTATTACTCTCTTTTATTGTCGAAACTGCACATATCCTGATCCTCTTCAGTATTTGCTTCCACATACTGTATGAACTAGGAGTCGGCAACCAGCGGCTCCGGAGGCGCATGCGTCTCTTTCCTTCTGTAGAAGGAAAAACGTTCTTAACGTTTTTAAATGCTGTAAAATTATAAGTAATATTCAATGTAAACATTTCTGTCAACGTAGTGTGTCATATCCTGCGACGTAGGCCCGCGCCAGGCGGCCGCTGTTGTAAACAAACCGGCGTGTGAGCATCATAGACTGTGCGCATGGATCCCAAAGCTAAAAAGAGAAGAGTCGATAATAAGACTGGACTAAGAATGAAACATTTGCTTTCAGTCAACGAGGAAGGACTGCTTCATGTTTGCGATGTAATGAGAAGTTTCTATGAGATAATTGTATCTGTGCTTAGAAACTACAAAAATGGCCGCTCGGGGTGGAGTCGAACCTGTGTCACCTGAATGGGGGCGTGGTCAAAAGCGCCTCATTTGCATTTAAAGAGACAGCACCAAAACAGGTTGCTCTCAGACGCACCTCAGAACAGGTGTAGAAGAAAGGCCCGTGGAGCTACAAATAATGAGACCCAGACCCAGGCATTGCAGTTACGCTTTATATAGGCCACAAATGAATGATTTAGATGTAAAAATCAATTATTTGAAAACACGATATGTCCACTTTAAAGGAGCAATATGTAAGATTTTCATGTTGCGTCATCATTAAAGGGCCCTAATCTGTCATCATTAAAGGACCCTAATCTGTCATCATTAAAGGGCCATAATCTGGCATCCTTAAAGGGCCATAATCTGTCATCATTAAAGGGCCCTAATCTGTCATCATTAAAGGGCCAAAATCTATCATCATTAAAGGGCCCTAATCTGTCATCATTAGAGGGCCCTAATCTGTCATCATTAAAGGGCCCTAATCTGTCATCATTAAAGGGCCCTAATCTGTCATAATTTAAGGGCCCTAATCTGTCATCATTAAAGGGCCCTATTCTGTCATCATTAAAGGGCCAAAATGTATCATCATTAAAGGGCCCTAATCTGTCATCATTAAAGGGCCCTAATCTGTCATCATTAAAGGGCCCTAATCTGTCGTCGTTAAAGGGCCCTAATCTGTCATAATTGAAGGGCCCTAATCTGTCATCATTAAAGGGTCCTAAAGTTTGACACCCCTGGTCCACCCATGGTCCACCCATGGTCCACCCCTAGTCCACCCCTAGTCCACCCCTAATCCCCCCCTGGTCCACCCCTGGTCCACCCCTTGTCCACTCCTGGTCCACCCCTGGTCCACCCCTGGTCCACCCCTGGTAGTATTCTCTGCAGTAATGACAGGTCCGTGTTGTGAAAGCTAGCTTAGCGTGTGCGGTGCTGACACGGCCTCTCATCAGACCCCAGCCCTCTCTGGGTTTATAAGGATTAATGTGGAGGTGAATGTGGAGGTGAATGTGGTGGTGAATGTGGAGGTGAATGTGGTGGTGAATGTGGAGGTGAATGTGGAGGTGAATGTGGTGGTGAATGTGGAGGTGAATGTGGTGGTGAATGTGGAGGTGAATGTGGTGGTGAATGTGGTGGTGAATGTGGAGGTGAATGTGGGGGGTTAATGTGGGGGTTAATGTGGGGGTTAATATAGGGGTTAATGTGGGGGTTAATATAGGGGTTAATGTGGGGGTTAATGTGGGGGTGAATGTGGGGGTTAATGTGGGGGTGAATGTGGGGGTTAATGTGGGGGTGAATGTGGGAGTGAATGTGGGGGTGAATGTGGGGGTGAATGTGGGGGTGAATGTGGGGGTTAATGTGGGGGTTAATGTGGGGGTTAATATAGGGGGTAATGTGGGGGTTAATGTGGGGGTGAATGTGGGGGTGAATGTGGGGGTTAATGTGGGGGTTAATGTAGGGGTTAATGTGGGGGTGAATGTGGGGGTTAATGTGGGGGTTAATATAGGGGTTAATGTGGGGGTTAATGTGGGGGTTAATGTGGGGGTTAATGTGGGGGTTAATGTGGGGGTGAATGTGGGGGTGAATGTGGGGGTTAATGTGGGGGTGAATGTGGGGGTGAATGTGGGGGTGAATGTGGGGGTTAATGTGGGGGTTAATGTGGGGGTTAATATAGGGGGTAATGTGGGGGTTAATGTGGGGGTGAATGTGGGGGTGAATGTGGGGGTTAATGTGGGGGTTAATATAGGGGTTAATGTGGGGGTGAATGTGGGGGTTAATGTGGGGGTTAATATAGGGGTTAATGTGGGGGTTAATGTGGGGGTTAATGTGGGGGTTAATATAGGGGTTAATGTGGGGGTTAATGTGGGGGTGAATGTGGGGGTTAATGTGGGGGTTAATGTGGGGGTGAATGTGGGGGTCAATGTGGGGGTTAATGTGGGGGTCAATGTGGGGGTTAATATAGGGCTTAATGTGGGGGTGAAAGTGGGGGTTTTGGGGGGGTTAATGTGGGGTTTTGGGGGGGGCGTAGGGCGCATACCTGCTTCAGCTGTGTCTCTGAGTTGACGGACACCTGGCAGAGCTCGCAGTGGAAGGGCTGGCTGCTCACACTCACCACCGCGCGGGTTTTGCTGCCGAGGCGTGGCTTCATGCGACAGGTCGGCCGCGGGGACGACGCCATCTTGATTCTCCGCTGGGAGTGAGCGCTGCTGTGGCCGTCCACCATCTGTTTGTGCTTTGAACCTGGAAGACAATTGGTTTATTTTTAAAAGAACAATACCGGATTTATTTTCTAGTGAGTTCATAAAAATGCGTATTACTACAAACAAGTTGAATTCAAACGGATTGATTCAGCTGTGCACGGATTCAGGCCGTAAAAAGTGCTGAGTAGAAACTTTGTGTGACGCTAGTTCTCCTCAGACTGTGAATATTAACGTAGTCAATCTCCGCCGTTCAAAGAAATGGGCCAAAAATTCATGGAACTTTCATGGAGCGTTTCAAAATGGCTGCGGGGGCTGGAAAATGTGAAAAAACGCATCTGCGTAGCTCTCTGACTTTATCGACCTGGGACAGTAGCTCTCTGCCTTTATCGACCTGGGACAGTAGCTCTCTGACTTTATCGACCTGGGACAGTAGCTCTCTGCCTTTATCGACCTGGGACAGTAGCTTCCTGCCTTTATTGACCCGGGACAGTAGCTCTTTATCGTCCTGGGACAGTAGCTCTCTGCCTTTATCGACCCGGGTCAGTAGCTCTCTGCCTGTATGGTCCCTGGACAGTCGCTCTCTGCCTTTATCGACCCGGGACAGTAGCTTTCTGCCTTTATCGATCCGGGACAGTAGCTCTCTGCCCTTATCGTCCCGGGACAGTAGCTCTCTGCCTTTATCGTCCCGGGTCAGTAGCTCTCTGCCTGTATGGTTCCAGGACAGTAGCTCTCTGCCTTCATTGACCCGGGGCAGTAGCTCTCTGCTTTTATGGTCCCGGGACAGGAGGTCTCTGCCTTTATCGACCCAGGACAGTAGCTCTCTGCCTTTATGGTCCCAGGACAGTAGCTCTCTGCCCTTATCGTCCCGGGACAGTAGCTCTCTGCCTTTATCGTCCCGGGTCAGTAGCTCTCTGCCTTTATCGTCCCGGGTTAGTAGCTCTCTGCCTGTATGGTCCCAGGACAGTAGCTCTCTGCCTTCATTGACCCGGGGCAGTAGCTCTCTGCTGTAAAAGGTCGAAGGTTAGCACCCACCGCTGCAGTGGGCCTGGAGCTGGGAGCTGGAGTTGACCGTGACTTTGCAGGTGCGACAGTGCAGGGTTTTCTTGCTGCTCTTGGCCTCTTTGCCTTCGTCCATCTTCGCCGCTGCTTCCTCCTCTTCCTCCTCTTCCTCCTCTTCCATGCAGGTGTGGTGAGAGTCGGAGGGCGCCCCGGGGTCAGAGCTGGCCCCCTCCGCAGACGGGCTGTCCAGGGCCAGGTCGCACAGCTCTGGGGAGTCCGAGGTGGAGGGGAGCTGGGCTGGGTCCAGGATCACAGAGGGACCGGTCTCTGGTTCAGACTGAGGGACTTCGCTGGAGCTGCCTGTGCCTGGGAATAACATTGCGCACTCAAATAAGAAATACGTAGCCTGGTCGTACCACACCATAGTACTATTTACATTTGGTACTAAGGTCTGGATTGGCTCCAGTGACTCCGTGAACAGGTGGGAGGGGCTAACTCCTTTTGCAGATTGAAACCATTGGATCTGAGTTTACTGTGACGTATGTAATGAGCCAGAGTGAGTCGTTAGCATTTAGCCTAGCTTTAGCCATCTCCTTTGCCGCTAATGGAGCCCGTGGGGAGTAGCAGCGATTACATTTACTAAACATTCCTCTTGCTCCAGGCTTCAGTTTCTTGATAGAACCAGAACAGAATACTTTACTATCACATTCTTCGCCAAACTACAACCTGCCTGTTCAGCGCAAACTCTTGACGTCGCCCACATCTACAGTAACTACAAGACCCGCCTCCCGCGCTCTCTGATTGGTCGGATGGAATTCAACAGATTGTAATCACAAACACAGGGACCAGACCCAGACGTTACAGGCAGGACATGATGATTGAGCGAAGAGTAGGTATGGATAAGATTTACAGGACTTGTTAGACCAGGCAGGTCAAACTCAGGCCCATGGACCAAATCCGGCCTGTAAGACGATTTTTAGTGGCCCATACCATGATTTTGCAGCATTGATGGTAATGGCCGACCGTGGCCAATCACCAATTTTCTCACACAAACAACTGCGTTTAGTTCAGTTTTGTCTTGTCATCTCATCTCTACCCCTTCATTAGTCCATTTCTGGTTCAGTTTGGGTTCAAGCCAAATAATAAACACAATTCATGACAAATACACGTACTGTTAAAATACCTTCATAATGTAAAAAACAGTCATAATTTATATGTTTGTCCTATTTTTGTTTTGCTCTACCCTTGATGAAAACGACTTTGACAGCCGTGTGCTAGACTGTATAATATATAATAAATAGACTACATAAAAAACATGTATATAAACTGTTTATTAACAAAACAAAGTCAATCTCATCAAAGTGTATGTAACAGAGAAAATCTAAAAAGTGCAAAGAAGCATGTCTAATCCTCTTATTTATTTTTCATTTCACATTATTCTGTCGGTGATATTGGATAAATACCAAACATCTCAAGGCGCTGGTTGAAAAACACTGCATTAGACATTTTTTTTTTTTATGACAGAAAAGATTTAAAGAACCCGTTTCAAATCTATCTAACCTCAAATCTTTCCGCTCATCTCTCTCTGTGTTCCCAATGTTTTTTATTTAGTTTATTTAAAGCATAAATCATTGTCATTACACCTCCCATTAGGCTTATCAGACCTCCTCTTTCCCTTTGTCGCTCCGTCTCTCGCCTCTGTCGCTCCGTGTCCCCATCAATCAATCGCCATGGCAACGGCTGCGTGTTACAGGCGTGTCATTATGTGTTCAGAGGGAAAGTGACAGGTGCTGAGGCAAAATGGCAGCTGGAAAATCAATGATGGAGAGCACAATGGCGGAGACGGTGGCGGAATCTGCGGACGCCGAGAAAACTACACAAAAGAGACGTTTTGTTTGTTTAGCGTTTGGGAGCAATGCTAAAGCTAAATCTGTTGTCTGTTCATTATGAGTGTGTGTTTCTTCTTCTGTGTTTTAGAATAAATTATCTGTTATTATAAGTGTGAAAGAGCGTTCGTGCTAATCTCGGGATGTAACTGATGTAAATCTGTTTTGTGATCAATACGGACTTGAGGCTGGCCACAAAACATGATTGTCATAATGTCAATATTAGTAAAATGACGTACATTGATAATCGATGAGGCGTAAATCTGCTTTTGGCCTGTGGGGGGCGCCAGAGTCCTTAGGCATGCTGCTCAAATACAAGACAGACTTTCTCTCTATCTATCTATCTATATATCTATGTATCTATCTCTCTCTCTGTGACACCTGTATGCACCTGTACGTATCTGTAGCACCTGTAAGCACCTATACACGCCTGAAGCACCTGTAGCACCTGTACGCACCTATACACATCTGTAGCACCTGTACGCACCTACACACACCTGAAGCACCTGTAGCACCTACACACACCTGAAGCACCTGTAGCACCTGTACGCACCTATGCACACCTGTAGCACCTGTACACACCTGTAGCACCTGTACGCACCTATACACACCTGTATGCACCTATACACACCTGTACGCACCTATGCACAACTGAAGCACCTGTACGCATCTATACACACCTGAAGCACCTGTACACACCTGTAGCACCTATACACACCTGTAGCACCTATACACACCTGTACATATCTGTAGCATTTGTACGCACCTGTACGCAATTATACACACCTGTAGCACCTGTACGCACCTGTACACACCTGTAGCACCTGTACACACCAGCAGCACCTGTACGCACCTGTAGCCTCAGCCGGGGTGGACTCTGTGGGTTCGCGCTCCTTCTCTCGCTCTTTGGAGTTTTTCTGCCGGTTCCGCTGCGTCTCCAGGGCCTTGAGTTTGCGAGCGTGTTTGTGGCCTTTGTAGTGCGCCTCGGCCTGGGTCTGAGCACAAGAACACAGGTGTTAGAGCAGGTCTGAGCACAAGAACACAGGTGTTAGAGCAGGTCTGAGCACAAGAACACAGGTGTTAGAGCAGGTCTGAGCACAAGAACACAGGTGTTAGAGCAGGTCTGAGCACAAGAACACAGGTGTTAGAGCAGGTCTGAGCACAAGAACACAGGTGTTACAGAACTAAAGCACGTCTGCAGTGAGTCAGAAACGGGTCTGGGTCGAGTCTTCACAGAGACGTCTTTGTGAATATATGTTATCAGTTTTTTATCAGGTTTTTACTGGAACAAAATGTGTGAAAAAATAACACAAAACATTCTTCATCGACAAAATTATTCAATTTTTTATGGTATAAGTATGGACATTTATCAACATGGGTTCTATATTCTTTCTGTGTTTAAACTGTTGATTCTCTGATCTGTGATTTCAATGGTTTTGTTAAGTCTCTGAGATGATGCTGTTGTGATTTAGGGAAATACAAGAATAAATTGTATTGTGTTGTCCAGACAGTTCTATCTGTAATAAAGCAGTAATAACGTGGTAATAAAGCAGTAATAAAGCAGTAATAACGTGGTAATAAAGCAGTAATAAAGCAGTAATAAAGCAGTAATAACGTGGTAATAAAGCAGTAATAAAGCAGTAATAACGTGGTAATAAAGCAGTAATAAAGCAGTAATAAAGCAGTAATAACGTGGTAATAAAGCAGTAATAAAGCAGTAATAACGTGGTAATAAAGCAGTAATAAAGCAGTAATAACGTGGTAATAAAGCAGTAATAAAGCAGTAATAAAGCAGTAATAACGTGGTAATAAAGCAGTAATAAAGCTCCCACAGGCTGTTTAAGCGAGAATGTTGAGCCAAATTTGTACAAATGTTGTTGGTGCAAAGGTCAAGTTACTCAGCTCCAGAGCCGTGCTGGTCTGTGCTGGTCTGTGCTGGTCTGTGCTGGTCTGTGCTGGTCTGTGCTGGTCTGTCCCATGACACTAAATAAACACTAGAATTCAAGAAATCACAACACTATGGATTTTTTAAGCCCAGAACAGACGGTGTGAGTCCAGTCCGGAGTCAGATCTGTCTGTCTATAGACAGTCTAAGGGTCAAAGGTTGTCAGATCTGTCCGTCTATAGACAGTCTAAGGGTCAAAGGTTGTCAGATCTGTCCGTCTATAGACAGTCTAAGGGTCAAAGGTTGTCAGATCTGTCCGTCTATAGACAGTCTAAGGGTCAAAGGTTGCCTCTCCAGTCTCATGAAACCTGTGACTTTTCCAATGTCTGTGATCGAAAAGTTTAAATCTAGTTTTTGGTATTTTCTCCACAAACATTAACATCTTTCTGAAAAACAAGAAACTCTCTGCTGGGTGTGTCAACGTCTCATGATTTAAAAAAAACTAAAATGTCTTTTATAGAATAGAAAAACACACAGACAGATCAAAGAGAAGGTGTGGAGAAAATCAAAAGGAAATATGGACAAATATATTTTTGGCTAAATGTTAAAATCCTAGAACAGCCTCTGATTGGATCATTCTGAGACTCAGGGACAGAAGATAAAAAGTCCTGAGTCTGAAACAACAACAAAAAGCAACAGTGGCTGAGTTGGTAGAGCATTGGCCTTTGAGCCAGGAGGTTGTGGGTTCGAGTCCACCACAAGACTCTCTCCACCAACTCCCACTGCTGTCTGCTGTGGTTGTGTCCTTAGGCAAGACACTTCCCCTACATTAGAATGAGTCTGGTGTGTGTGTGAATGGTTGGTGGTGATGGGAGGGGCTGATGGCACAGACTGGTTGCATCGCTTCTGTCAGTGTGCCCCAGGGCAGCTGTGGCTACAGTAGTTTATCAGCACCGTGTTTGGAGAATAATAATAAGACCAATAAACGTCCAATAATAACCTATGGATTATTATTATTATTAATATCACTAAAAAGGAATCATTAAAAAATATATATATATCAATACAAATTTAAATGACCCTGAAATATGTGTAACGCAATGGTTCTTATCAATTTAGTTCTAAAATTAAACTTGAAAAAAAAAAAAAATGGTCTGGTTTCACATTTCATTGGTTTATTTGAGAGTTTAAGAATCATTTGTTTCTACTCTGTGAAAAAAAGAATCTCTGAATAAAATGTGGATCTGAAAATATGTAACAAACTTCAATCAAAGGATCAGGTCGTCACATAAAATAAACCACTTCAGGAAACTGGACTCATTTATAAAACAGATTTTGTTTAGCAACATGAATAACATAAAATATCAGATTTTTAATGCTTGGCCTGTTGTACCTTCAGTGTGAACAGACTATAACATGTGTGAGTCCTCTACAGAAAGCCTATGTCCTTGGGCTGCTCCGTGTCATCGTTCCACTTCCTGTTGAAAGAACATTACACCAGAACAAAGGAGGTCGGACGGTCTCATCACGGTTCTGATCATTGGTGTTTGGTCGAAGAGGGTCAGATCTCATTAGAGCCTCCTCTTCCTCTCAGCGGCCCCTCCAGCCCCAGCAGCTCCTTCTGCACTGATTCAGTTTGACACAAAATGGCCGCTGCATGTTGATGTCCCACAGTCGCTCAGTGATTTACACGACTGTGACAGCAAGCGTCCCCTCACATGCACATTTAAGAGCCCAAACAGCTCATGGTGTTTCACTACACAACAAAATCCCGCTGAGTTGGATGAGACAATATATTTTTTTAGAACAAGAAACATATACAGACATATTCAACGTACGAATCAGCCTTAAGTGCAGCCAAAAAGTGCATCACAAGTGTATCACCACAGTTAACACAGACTGGGACGATCTCTTTCTCTGATCAGCAAACACAAAAAGCACTCACACACCACACTATGTTGAAGCCCGGCACAATAACACTGAAACTATAGGTAAAAACACACACACACACACACACACACACACACACATCTTGCTATTGTTTCACCCATTAGATAATTTGCCTTTGCTCAAATTATCATTCCCCAGACACTTCCTGTACACAGCATTTGCATATTGAAACTCAAAGGTCTGTGTGCGGTGGAGAAGGTCGGCTCCGTCACAGGTCAAAGAGCGAGTGGCGAGACGAGAGGCTAAAGGCTGGGACGCCGCCTTTGGCCACGTTGAATGTCAGCGCACACTAAGCATTCAGCGTGATGCCCATGTGAGTGAGGGGCCATACTATCTGGACGGACCAGGCTAGTATGAGATGTTCCACTGGGTCCTGGGACGGAGCAAACACAAACAGCACTGTCCTCTCTGGGTCTTCCTTCAGGCCTGAACCTCTCATGCTTCTCACTGAGTTCAGCTGAATTAAAGAAATAGTCCAACTTCTCCAGACTGTTTGGGTCTGAAATGGCATCTGAGTCACACTGGAAAGGTTTCACGGCGTCCACAGAGAGCGATATAGATTTATAACGGACCAGTGTAAAGACAGAGCTGTGGCTCATGGACCATTTAAAATTCAATTACAAACGTCTATACAGTGTGTTCCCATTTATGAGGCTGACATAGTAGGTACAGTACACAGCTGTGTGGCAGCTAAAAATACATCACAACACATGTACTGTACTAGCCTGGTCTTACCACACCATCGTACCTATTTCATCTCATACAATGGGATCTGCTCCATTGACTCCGTTAACAGGTGGGAGGGGCTAACTCCTTTTACAGATTGAAACCATTGGATCTGAGTTTACTGTGACGTATGTAATGAGCCCGAGTGAGTGAGGCATTTAGCATGTAGCCTAGCTTTAGCATGTAGCCTAGCTTTAGCCATCTCCTTTGCCGCTAACGGAGCCCGTGGGGAGTAGAGCCACAACATCTTTGCTTCAATGACATTTACTAAACATTCCTCTTGCTCCGGCTTCAGTTTCTTGATATTTGGATTGAACCAGAACAGATTATTTTACTATCGCATTCTCCGACAAACTACAACCAGCAAATTCAGCACAAACTCTTGACAACACCCGCCTCCCCCGCTCTCTGATTGGTCGGAGCGGATTCAACCGAGGAAACTGCAGCCACTAGGATCAGACCCAGACGTACATGTAGGAAATGACCATGGACCAGAGTTTACACATGGTAAGACCAGACGTACATGTAGGAGATGACCATGGACCAGAGTTTACACATGGTAAGACCAGACGTACATGTAGGAGATGACCATGGACCAGAGTTTACACATGGTAAGACCAGACGTACATGTAGGAAATGACCATGGACCAGAGTTTACACATGGTAAGACCAGACGTACATGTAGGAAATGACCATGGACCAGAGTTTACACATGGTAAGACCAGACGTACATGTAGGAAATGATCATGGACCAGAGTTTACACATGGTAAGACAGACGTACATGTAGGAAATGACCATGGACCAGAGTTTACACATGGTAAGACCAGACGTACATGTAGGAAATGATCATGGACCAGAGTTTACACATGGTAAGACCAGACGTACATGTAGGAGATGACCATGGACCAGAGTTTACACATGGTAAGACCAGACGTACATGTAGGAAATGATCATGGACCAGAGTTTACACATGGTAAGACAGACGTACATGTAGGAGATGATCATGGACCAGAGTTTACACATGGTAAGACCAGACGTACATGTAGGAGATGACCATGGACCAGAGTTTACACATGGTAAGACCAGAGTTTACACATGGTAAGACCAGACGTACATGTAGGAAATGACCATGGACCAGAGTTTACACATGGTAAGACCAGACGTACATGTAGGAAATGACCATGGACCAGAGTTTACACATGGTAAGACCAGACGTACATGTAGGAGATGACCATGGACCAGAGTTTACACATGGTAAGACCAGACGTACATGTAGGAAATGATCATGGACCGGAGTTTACACATGGTAAGACCAGACGTACATGTAAGAGATGATCATGGACCAGAGTTTACACATGGTAAGACCAGACGTACATGTAGGAGATGACCATGGACCAGAGTTTACACATGGTAAGACCAGAGTTTACACATGGTAAGACCAGATGTACATGTAGGAAATGACCATGGACCAGAGTTTACACATGGTAAGACCAGACGTACATGTAGGAGATTACCATGGACCAGAGTTTACACATGGTAAGAGCAGACGTACATGTAGGAAATGATCATGGACCAGAGTTTACACATGGTAAGACCAGACGTACATGTAGGAGATGACCATGGACCAGAGTTTACACATGGTAAGACCAGACGTACATGTAGGAGATGATCATGGACCAGAGTTTACACATGGTAGGACCAGAGTTTACACATGGTAAGACCAGACGTACATGTAGGAGATGACCATGGACCAGAGTTTACACATGGTAAGACCAGACGTACATGTAGGAGATGATCATGGACCAGAGTTTACACATGGTAAGAGCAGACGTACATGTAGGAAATGATCATGGACCAGAGTTTACACATGGTAAGACCAGACGTACATGTAGGAAATGATCAAGGACCAGAGTTTACACATGGTAAGACCAGACGTACATGTAGGAAATGATCATGGACCAGAGTTTACACATGGTAAGACCAGACGTACATGTAGGAGATGATCATGGACCAGAGTTTACACATGGTAAGAGCAGACGTACATGTAGGAAATGATCATGGACCAGAGTTTACACATGGTAAGACCAGACGTACATGTAGGAAATGATCAAGGACCAGAGTTTACACATGGTAAGACCAGACGTACATGTAGGAAATGATCATGGACCAGAGTTTACACATGGTAAGACCAGAGTTTACACATGGTAAGACCAGAGTTTACACATGGTAAGACCAGAGTTTACACATGGTAAGACCAGGGTCGTACAGTCCTTCTCTATAAGACATTTGCCACGTTTCCTAACATCATATTCTTCTTATTTTCCTTCTTCCTCAGATAATACTGAGCGGGGATGAAACCTTTTCCGTGACACATGCCGTGTTTCGACCCAAACAGACTTTTGACAGTTCCAACCATGTCTTTAACCATGTGGATAGTGGATCAGTGCTGGTACCTGCCTGGCATTCCTCTGGTGGCTCTCAAGTCAGCTGTCGACGGCACAGAGAAGGGAAGAGAAACTTTAGCTCCGACTCCGACGACACACGTGAATATGGAAGCGCCCCATAGTTTGAGACACATGGTTTGACAGGTGTGTGTGTGTGTGTGTGTGTTATCCATAAGACATAGCTTTAGCATTTTGCCTAGCTTTAGCCATCTCCTTTGCCACTCCATATTCCACTTTTCGTGACAATTTAAGTGCAAATGCCTAAAGTCTGTAGCAACAGCAGGTCGGAGAATTTAATAAGGAAGAAATGGGTCGAATGGAGCTGCTCGAGGGAATTAGTATTGAATAAATATTGGTTTTGTTTTGACGTGTAGGAGCTAAAGAGACACAGACAGGAGCTGGTTACTCACCGTGGAGTTAAACCTCAGATGGCAGATGTTACAGGAGATTATGGGTTTCTTTTTGGGTGGAGACGAACCAAAAGTGTGGTTTATTACGGCCTTTTGAACCGGATCCATCTGTGAAAGAGACGGAGACATCACTAAGCAACACGTCAGACATTAGCATCTGTCTGTGAAAAGGCTAATAATGATCAACTAGGACAGATTTCCCAAATGTAAGGTTAAAAAACAGTAAAATTCCGCTGATTTTTAGTGTCACCTGAATAAAAAAAATAAAAAAAATCATTATTAACGAATGCAGTTTTGTGGCGTTGTGTTTATGTTGCTACTATTTCATGTTATACCTCATTTTAAAGAAAATTCTCTCCTGGAAACAATCAGGATTTCTTTATCTTCATTCAATGTTTTCAAAAAATGTAAACCAAATATGTAATTAGATTTTAAATAAAAATCAGTGAAATATCAATTGACAATTACGAGTCTTCTCCACCTTTGGTTCAATCAAAACAAACCGTGACTGAACTCATTTTGTTTAGAAAAAGCTACAACATAAAATAATACAAGCTTTAGAATGTTCATGGTTTTACACTGGTCCAGACCAGAGCAGAGAGGATTCATGGTTTTACACTGGTCCAGACCAGAGCAGATAGGATTCATGGTTTTACACTGGTCCAGACCAGAGCAGAGAGGATTCATGGTTTTACACTGGTCCAGACCAGAGCAGAGAGGATTCATGGTTTTACACTGGTCCAGACCAGAGCAGAGAGGATTCATGGTTTTACACTGGTCCAGACCAGAGCAGAGAGGATTCATGGTTTTACACTGGTCCAGACCAGAGCAGAGAGGATTCATGGTTTTACACTGGTCCAGACCAGAGCAGAGACAATGGTCTGAACCGAGCTCCACCTGCTGCTGAGACCTGAAGGACTGATGTATTTTATTATTGTTTATATGGATGTGTTTCTGCTGCCACTGGACACCTGCATTTCTCCAACAGGGATCAATAAACTATCTATCTACTGTATCTATCTATCTACTGTATCTATCTATCTACGTATCTATCTATCTACTGTATCTATCTATCTACTGTATCTATCTATCTACGTATCTATCTATCTACGTATCTATCTATCTACTGTATCTATCTATCTACTGTATCTATCTATCTACTGTATCTATCTATCTACTGTATCTATCTATCTACTGTATCTATCTACTGTATCTATCTATCTACTGTATCTATCTATCTACTGTATCTATCTATCTACTGTATCTATCTATCTACTGTATCTATCTATCTACTGTATCTATCTATCTACGTATCTATCTATCTACGTATTTATCTATCTACGTATCTATCTATCTACTGTATCTATCTATCTACTGTATCTATCTATCTACGTATCTATCTATGTACGTATCTATCTATCTACGTATCTATCTATCTACGTATCTATCTATCTACGTATCTATCTATCTACTGTATCTATCTATCTACTGTATCTATCTATCTACTGTATCTATCTATCTACTGTATCTATCTATCTACTGTATCTATCTATCTACTGTATCTATCTACTGTATCTATCTATCTACTGTATCTATCTATCTACTGTATCTATCTATCTACTGTATCTATCTACTGTATCTATCTATCTACTGTATCTATCTATCTACTGTATCTATCTATCTACGTATCTATCTATCTACTGTATCTATCTATCTACTGTATCTATCTACTGTATCTATCTATCTACTGTATCTATCTATCTACTGTATCTATCTATCTACTGTATCTATCTATCTACTGTATCTATCTACTGTATCTATCTATCTACTGTATCTATCTATCTACGTATCTATCTATCTACTGTATCTATCTATTTACGTATCTATCTATCTACTGTATCTATCTATCTACTGTATCTATCTATCTACGTATTTATCTATCTACGTATCTATCTATCTACTGTATCTATCTATCTACGTATCTATCTATCTACTGTATCTATCTATCTACGTATCTATCTATCTACTGTATCTATCTATCTACGTATCTATCTATCTACTGTATCTATCTATCTATGTATCTATCTATCTACTGTATCTATCTATTTACGTATCTATCTATCTACTGTATCTATCTATCTACGTATCTATCTATCTACTGTATCTATCTATCTACGTATCTATCTATCTACTGTATCTATCTATCTACTGTATCTATCTATCTACGTATTTATCTATCTACGTATCTATCTATCTACTGTATCTATCTATCTACTGTATCTATCTATCTACTGTATCTATCTATCTACTGTATCTATCTACTGTATCTATCTATCTACTGTATCTATCTATCTACGTATCTATCTATCTACTGTATCTATCTATCTACGTATCTATCTATCTACTGTATCTATCTATTTACGTATCTATCTATCTACTGTATCTATCTATCTACGTATCTATCTATCTACTGTATCTATCTATCTACGTATCTATCTATCTACTGTATCTATCTATTTACGTATCTATCTATCTACTGTATCTATCTATCTACGTATCTATCTATCTACTGTATCTATCTATCTACGTATCTATCTATCTACTGTATCTATCTATCTACTGTATCTATCTATCTACGTATTTATCTATCTACGTATCTATCTATCTACTGTATCTATCTATCTACTGTATCTATCTATCTACGTATTTATCTATCTACGTATCTATCTATCTACTGTATCTATCTATCTACTGTATCTATCTATCTACGTATTTATCTATCTACGTATCTATCTATCTACTGTATCTATCTATCTACTGTATCTATCTATCTACGTATTTATCTATCTATCTATCTACTGTATCTATCTATCTACGTATCTATCTATCTACTGTATCTATCTATCTACTGTATCTATCTATCTACTGTATCTATCTATCTACGTATTTATCTATCTACGTATCTATCTATCTACTGTATCTATCTATCTACTGTATCTATCTACTGTATCTATCTATCTACTGTATCTATCTATCTACGTATTTATCTATCTACGTATCTATCTATCTACTGTATCTATCTATCTACTGTATCTATCTATCTACGTATCTATCTACTGTATCTATCTACTGTATCTATCTATCTACTGTATCTATCTATCTACATATCTATCTATCTACTGTATCTATCTACTGTATCTATCTATCTACTGTATCTATCTATCTACTGTATCTATCTATCTACGTATCTATCTATCTACGTATCTATCTATCTACGTATCTATCTATCTACTGTATCTATCTATCTACTGTATCTATCTATCTACGTATCTATCTATCTACGTATCTATCTATCTACTGTATCTATCTATCTACTGTATCTATCTATCTACGTATCTATCTATCTACGTATCTATCTATCTACGTATCTATCTATCTACTGTATCTATCTATCTACTGTATCTATCTATCTACGTATCTATCTATCTACGTATCTATCTATCTACGTATCTATCTATCTACTGTATCTATCTATCTACTGTATCTATCTATCTACGTATCTATCTACTGTATCTATCTGATCTGCTGTCACTTGTAAATGTGGTCCTTCTTCTTGGTCCAGGAGATGGTCATAAACATCCAATCATCTTTCAGTCTTCTTAAAATCCTTTTGTTTTGTAAGATATGAACTAAACATAATAGTGTCAGTCTGGGCTTGTACAGCTGTGTTTAGATTCTAACCTCAGCCTTGGGGCCTAGACAGGAATCTTGTCCCTTCAGATGACCCACACTTTTAGCCTGAGTCTGGTCTCATGAAGAGGCGACAAGTAATGACACAGAGTTAAAATAAGAACTTTAATTACTGCCCAGAGCCCGTTCCAGTTTAGCAGAGTATTCACTGCATCGTCCCATGTAGCCACAATACTGTCGTAAGCTGCGTTTTAGTGGTTCTGGAAAAATATTAAGAACCCAACTTAGAATATTTTGTTTGTGTTTTTGGGCCGGTGGGTTCTGGGCGCTGGAGAAAGTCACTGCGTAATGTGGACACTCTATACATTTTAGGCCAGGGGTGTCACACTTATTTTGGTTGAGGGCCGATTAAAAAAATACAGGGCTGGTCAGGGGCCGAAAATAAAGTGGGTTTGATTTATTAGATTTTTTTGGAATATGACGGTATCTAAATAAATGACTTGTTTCACAATAGTTGGATTGGACTTTCTTTTATGATAGAATTAGTTCAGTTCTTGTGACTGAACCAAAACTGAACCAAAACTGGTCCAAATATTGAAGGTATAAAGGAAGATTTTCTACTTCCGGGTGAATCATCAAGACTATTGGTCCTCCCAACTGTCAATCATTCTGGTGATTTGTGCTAGTCCAATAAGACCAGAGAGTTTTGTTCAAAAAGTGGAGAGGGCAATTCTTTCCTAAGAAAATTGGGGAATCCTTTTTTTTTCTTATGGAATTAAACGATATGGTTGTTTTCTTAGAAATGGATAACATGCCATTGTCGCCTACTACCATTTATATAATCATTTAAAATCATCTCAAGGGCCACAGGAAATGGTCTCGCGGACCGGATCTCGCCCCCGGGCCTTGACTTGACACCTGTGTTTTAGGCCATAAAAAGAACCTGACACAGTACGGTTCAGGCAGTGTTGATTTACGACTGGACTGGAACCATAAAAAATAAAAAAGTTTCCATCCATCCATCCATCCATCCATTTTCTTCCCCTTAATCCATTTCTGGGTCGGGGGGGTGGCAGTCAGAGCTGCACCCAGTCACAGAGCACCAGCCCCTCACTGATCCTCCTGCAGGTGGTGAGTCCACAGGAGCTGAGATCTTTCAGTTGGGGCTTTGGGCAAAGTGGGGTTAAGTGTCTTGCCCAAGGACACAACGACAGCAGTCATCAGTGGGAGTCGTGAAGTAGGTCTTACGGTGGGCTTGAACCCACGACCTTCAGGCCCAAAGGCCAATGCTCTACCAACTGAGCTACTGTCGCCCCTTAAAAAAGTTTCCAAAATACAAAAATCTGCTGCTTACTATTGTGAAAAGTCCTATCGAGGAGGCGGGATTTGCAAATACAGCTGTTTTTTGTACAAGAAGAACTAGTGTTATAGTTTGATTCCATTCTTGGGGGTAAAAACACAGAAATGTTGATAAGTAAAACATATATTACCGCATTGAAGTTGGGGAAGAGGTTGAGAGGAGCGGTTCCATTGACCCTGAGCGGCAGGAAGTGTTCGAGTGGAGTCTGTGGCTGCAGCGGACGTCCCGGCAGCTGCAGCGGTCCCAGCAGGGGGTGCATCTGGCTCTGGGTCAGGGCTCCTGCCACACACAAGCAGAAAAGAGTCAATAGGACTGGACACCGAGACCTTACACCGTCATTCTTCTGATTCATCGATTTGTTTGGATCCAGAAAGATCAGTGAAGATGGGATTTTTGTATCAGTTTTTATCAAGTGCACCTTATGTAAAGCACCTGAGATAAATACATTAAAGGAGTCGTTTGTAAACATGTGGCCAAAAGTGGTACTGCAGCCTCTCCCACTCTCCCTGACTCAGGTTGCCAGATATGCAGACGAATCCAGCTGGGACCATAACAGCTGAATAGACAAGAGTTTTGTCAACAACAAATCTATAACCAACACCTTTTCCACAAAGATAGTGTTGTGGAAATGTAATTAATGATCCATGGAAACAGAGAGGCATTTTGTGTGGTTTAATGAAAGTAAAAAGTACATGATAAGAACAAGCATTTGCAAATGGAGAAAGCTTCTGCAGTTGCTCCTCGGACCCTGCATCAGTCTCTTTGACGCACACACTGGGATTCACACGAGCTTTATCAGAATGGTCCGGTCCCTCATTGGCCACAGGGAAAACACATGTCACACCTCTGCACTGATTACTGTAGGAGAAATTAAAATGACCTCTTTCCTCAATCAAAGACATTTTGTTGTATATTGAGACATATTATAACTTCTGTCTCCACTGTGTGTAAATCCTTGTGGTTCAGGTTTTATTGTGGGTAAGAATGTCTTAAGATAAGTGCCATGGCAACACCCTTCCCCCAACTACTCTACAAGATGTGAAGACTTACAAGGACCCACAGGTAAGACAAACCAGTCTGCTTTGGAACCACGGAGTGACCAGACCTCCCTGGGCTCTGCCCTGGGCTCTGCTCAGGCAACCAAGGGGCTTTGGGCCTCTTAGATGGCCTCAAACCTCAGCTCCACGTTTGAGAGGACTTCCACAACCCTTCAATAGCCTCCAGCTTCAACCTGAAGAAGTTGCTGAGTTTTGGCACCTAGACTGTGGATCGTGGGAGGACTTGGTTCAGCCACATGATGCAGCCGCATGGTCCAGGCCCCGTGGACAAGAAGCCTCCATCCAACACCATCAAGACCCAAGGACTGCTATTCACCAAAGGCTATTCTGGTTGTATGATCTGCTCTCTTGCTACACACAGCTGTTGGCTTTATTAAAACCTATACTTCAAAGAATACTTCTCTTACCAAGGCTGAACACATGCAGGCCTCAGCCTATACCAATCCATTCATAGACAAAGGCCTTGCTTAGCTCACTTTAGCCTAGCATTTTAACAATGTATCTTGAAATCAACGTTTCCTTCATGTTATTCTTGACAATTTGCATATTTCATATCTAGTCTGTATTGTGTATACTTCATTAAATCTACAAAACCATCTTTGTCTGAAAGTGATATTTGTACTTTTAACTCCAGAAATTGGGTCACTGATTTGTAAAAGAATTCACTACTTTCAGATTCTATTGAAGAGAATTGGACTAATTAGCTAATTAAATAATGAAAGGACTCATGAGATTACTTAATCAATAAATGAGCCAATTAATTGATATTGTGACGTCATATGCACGTTATCAGTTGGGAGTTATTCCCTGGTGCCCCTAAATAAAGCTATTATCAATTATTGTATTTATTACATGGTTGTTTTGATCCAATTCTCCGATATCAGGTACATAACTTAAGTTATGTACCTGATATCAACATTTTCTCACCCTACATTACAAACTCAAAGTATGAAGAGCAGGGAAACAAGGGGGGGTTAAGGAGGTCGAGAGGACAGGGGCAGAAGACACAGGACTCAAGCCAAGATCACATCATCCACATGATAAAAAAAACCGTCACATCAAAGGAGACGTCAATCACTGTCTAATAATTAAACCCACAAACTGCATCTTAACTTAGTCCCAAATACCATCCGGCCATAAAACAAAACCCTCTGAACCATTTGTTAATCATCACAATCCACCCCTGGAGAACCTCTTTATAGCCAGGACTTGAAACGCATTTGTTTGCTTCATTCAAAATACTTTTAAACATATTTTTATCATTATAGAATTATCTGAACCTTATCTGAACGTAAAACCTGTCGTCAGTATCTTTAAGTAGAAAGTGTAAAAACATATTCTTCAGATCACCTCAGGGCCCTCGGTGAGTGTCCCCCGACCTCCACTTTGGGAACCCCTGGACTCACAGAATTATCCAATCCAAATATAGCACTAATATAATATAATATACATATCAGGGCTAAGGACACAAGAGGAAACACATGAATACGTTTTGGACATTTGCACATGACCTTTTCCACATCAGATCTCAGGCGGCTGCACTGACCTTTCACTGGCCCCGCAGAAAACAAACACAAACTCATGTTTAAAATCACAGAAACTGATCACACCGGACACGGCACGGACCCAAAGAACCCACGAACAAGAAAGAACCACCGACTTTTTATTCTACTGTGAAAGGAGGTACATGCTTTCTCTACAGGCCTGTCCAAACTCAGGCCCGGGGGCCAGTTGCGGCCCTCAGTGTCAGTGTATGTGGCCCTCTGCCTCGCTAACCCACAGTAGTCTTTGAGATCAGTTCACTGTGTCATCCATCCAACTTCAGCTCAGACAATATAGACATGAGTACCTCGTTCTAAAGCCCAGTACGTCTGGAATATAGCCGTGGACTTGTGAGATGGTAAACATGCGTCATTCAGCCAACTTCAGCTCAGACAATGTAGATATGTCGTACCTTGTTCTACAGCTCAGTACGTCTGGATTTCAGCCGTTGACTTAATTTGGTTTTTGAAGTGTCAAAAACGTCCGGTAATCAGAATCATTTGCTGATGTAGCTGGTGAGATGGTAAACATGTATCATTCAGCCAACTTCAGCTCTGTTATAGATCATTTTACAGCTCAGAACAGCCCGATCTCAGTCAAGATAATTTTCAGTCCGTGATCTCGGCTCTGGACTAGTCTGGTGAACAATTTGCCATAAGTCCTATATATTTGGTCGTCTGATAGATTCTGTTTGTTTTTTATCACCGGAGACAGGACGACAGCGCCATCTGCTGTTCAACTTCTTCAGAACAGAATCTCAGGTGTGTGATACTAAACAAGCCCCCTCGTCCCAGTTTATGGTCCAAAGAAGCCATAGAAATACGTTTATTGCCCGTGTGCACCTTCTCCGTCTCCTTTTCACATTCTGGTTTTGTGCTTTTTCTTTTTTATTACATGACATCGTATGGAAGTATTTCAAAGGCGACATTTTGTTTTTATCCGGTTCTAATTTATCTTTCTGTGACGTCCAAAACACTGATTTTAAAGTGTCCACAGGGCTGGTCCAACATGACTGATGATGACACGGGACACATTTAAAGACGGATTACTTCAGCACATTGTTCACACGACATTATCAGCAAAGAGAGATATTATCAAACCAATAAAGAAGGAACCAAATCCGGACCGCGAGGATATTTGATCCGGACCACTCCTATCGATCGATCCTGGTCCATGAAAATCCCATATGGGCCCTTTAACCCTTTGATGGTTTCCGCAAACATTTGACGAATCACTTTTTGAGTCACTACAGCTATAACTTGGAGCTTAGAACTGAAATCTCCCTCATTGTTCCATCGCAAGCATTTGGTTTTAGACACTTTTACATCAAACTGAAACTAAATTATTTGCTAAAGGGCTTTAACTTAAAAAAATAAACGAGAAGGGTTAAAAAAAAATACATTGCTTTCTTCAAGGAGTGAATATTAAAGGGTTAAAAATAGCCATTTTTACACACTTTTCATCATGGAAGTCGGAGCATCTACGAGGTTCAATGAGAGGAGGGATTAACGCTAATTTAATCCTAATTCCCAACTGTCACATATCAGATTATATGATATTATATACGAGTTTCACACACATTTCTGTTGCTAAAATAAAGCGGCGGTGGAGTCAGATTCATTGGTTCGAATCTCTTCCACTCTAATCTGAAATGGATCTTTCTAATCCCGCAACATTCAGGCGAGACGTTTAATTAACTGCACTCGGCGTTTTTCTGCTGAGACACATTTAATTGAACAGGAAGTAGAAACATTAGCAACACTTTACGAAGAACATTGAAAAAAACTGGGATCTTAGTTTGTATGTGTATAGTTGTGTTGTTTTTTTGGTAACACACACAGCTCCAGGGCAGAAACCAAAGAAAACAGGTTCTTAAAGGGCCCTAGTCTGACATCATTAAAGGGCCCTAATCTGTCATCATTATAGGGCCCTAATCTGTCATCATTAAAGGGCCCTAATCTGTCCTCATTAAAGGGCCCTAATCTGTCCTCATTAAAGGGCCCTAATCTGTCATCATTAAAGGGCCCTAATCTGTCATCATTAAAGGGCCCTAATCTGTCATCATTAAAGGGCCCTAATCTGTCATAAAAATAAACCGCTCTTTTCCAATACTTCTTTAACTGATAACAGTAGTTCAGAGATAAATGAATTTCTAAATTACTTTTCCAGCCCCTAAATCTTGTTATTGTTTTCATTTCGATGTCCCGCCCTCCACCGTTTCACCAATCAGAAAGTCTGTGATCCGGGTGCCAGAACTCACCGTGTGGAGCTAATCTCACTGGTAAAGTACCATGTGGCGCAGAACTAAAAAAGGACAAAACAAGGAATAAAACCAGGATTTCTATCTTTGTGAAAAAGGTGTTGGTTATAGATTTGTTGTTGACAAAACTCTTGTCTATTCAGCTGTTATGGTCCCAGCTGGATTCGTCTGCATATCTGGCAACCTGAGTCAGGGAGAGTGGGAGAGGCTGCAGTTCCACTTTTGGCCACATGTTTACACACTGCTCCTTTAAGTAAATGTTTTTATATTTCAGGCCACATTTAAACCATGTCTGCTTCTTATAGACTTCTATAGACTGTAAATTGTCCAAAGAAATCCAAAAACACAGAAATAATCCTTCCCCCAACCAGAACCGGTTTGGACTCGCTCCTATCTCCCTCCTCCTCCTCCTCCTCCTCTTCCTCGCTCCAGCCATAAAACACACAGTTCTGAGTCTCAGTCTGGTCTCAGAAATAATAGGGATTAACTTCCTCTTTTTTCAAGGTGCTGGAGCCGAGTCTTTCTGACCAGGTCCCAACACTCTCTTTGTGCTGAGATTACGGAGCTGCAGAGACCAAAGAAGTCTCCGGAAGATCAGTGGTGCATCAGGGTTAAAGCTGCACTAACTGACTTTATTTTTGTATTCATTACGAAAGTGCTATCCATGTCCGTGTAGTGCATTGGGATATACGTCCGTTTGAAGAAAAAGTAGTGCAGGTTTGTGCTGCACTACTATATCCCAATATCCATATTGGGAGAGGCTAGCTTCGTCAACAACAGTGGGTGTGTGTGGGGGCGATAGCTTCGTGGGTGCGGGGAGGGGAGCAGAAAGAGAGAGGCCAGCGAGTCCGCGGCTTCAAAATCCCAAAGTCAGTTAGTGCAGCTTTAAGTTCATGTTTGGGTTTCACCGTGACGATAACGGGGTTCCAGGGCACGGAGCCTTTTGGCCTCATCTGTTTTAATGCTTTAGAAATGTAAATGTGAAATGTGCTCGTAGGGAAATTTGTGCTCTGCTTTTGACCCGTCCTGAAGCCACTAAACAGGAGCACCCGGAGGAAACTTACGCAGACATGGGGAGAACATGCAAACTGCACTCAGAAAGGCCCTGTTCCGGCTGGGATTCGAAGCCAGGACCGTCTTGCTGTGTGTGTGTGTGTGTGTGTGTGTATGTGCTGGTCCTTTCTGTGTGTGCATTTTCTGTGTGTGTGGGTTTTCTGTGTGTGTGTGTTTTCTGTGTGTGTGTAGTGGTCCTGTCTGTGTGTGTGTGTGTGTGTGTTTTCTGTGTTTGTGTGTGTTTGTGTGTGTAGGGAAAAAATGATTTCAGAAAGAGAGACACTTCTGAGCACTTTCCGTCTCAGCGAAAAGCTTCAATCTTTGAGCAAACATGTTTTCTCCTCGAGCTAAAATGACCGAACCGTTCACATTTCACAGATTCAGAAAGAAAAGGTCAAAGAAAAACAGCCAGATTCAGAATCTAGAGAGAAAAAATAAATGACTTAAAACAAACATGATTCAAAACGGTCAAAAACAGTAAAAAGTTGATGCAGGTTAATTTCTCTTTAACTAATTTATTTGTATAATTTTTTGCAGTTTTAGCCAATAATAAATGTCATATTTGTATGTACTTGGTTGGACCCTAGTGAGACTTGAGGTTAACCCGGGGCTGATTGGCTAAAGCTAGTGCATGTTCAGACCGCTCAGACGCCACAGAGAGGACCACAGAGAGGACCACAGAGAGGACCACAGAGAGGACCACAGAGAGGACCACAGAGAGGACCACAGAGAGGACCACAGGGAGGACCACAGAGAGGACCACAGAGAGGACCACAGAGAACCACAGAGAGGACCACAGAGAACCACAGAGAGGACCACAGAGAGGACCACAGAGAGGACCACAGAGAACCACAGAGAGGACCACAGAGAACCACAGAGAGGACCACAGAGAGGACCACAGGGAGGACCACAGAGAGGACCACAGAGAGAACCACAGAGAGGACCACAGAGAGGACCACAGGGAGGACCACAGAGAACCACAGAGAGGACCACAGAGAGGACCACAGAGAGGACCACAGAGAGGACCACAGAGAGGACCACAGAGAGAACCACAGAGAGGACCACAGAGAGGACCACAGAGAGGACCACAGAGAGGACCAGAGAGAGAACCACAGAGAGGACCACAGAGAGGACCACAGAGAGGACCAGAGAGAGGGCCACTGAGAGGACCACAGAGAGGACCAGAGAGAGGACCACAGAGAGGACCACAGAGAGAACCACAGAGAGGACCACAGAGAGGACCACAGAGAGGACCACAGAGAGAACCACAGAGAGGACCACAGAGAGGACCACAGAGAGAACCACAGAGAGAACCACAGAGAGGACCACAGAGAGGACCACAGAGAGGACCACAGAGAGGACCACAGAGAGGACCACAGAGAGGACCACAGAGAGAACCACAGAGAGGACCACAGAGAGGACCACAGAGAGGACCAGAGAGAGGACCACTGAGAGGACCACAGAGAGGACCAGAGAGAGGACCACAGAGAGGACCACAGAGAGAACCACAGAGAGGACCACAGAGAGGACCACAGAGAGGACCACAGAGAGGACCAGAGAGAGGACCACAGAGAGGACCACTGAGAGGACCACAGAGGACCACAGAGAGGACCACAGAGAAGACCACAGAGAGGACCACAGGGAGGACCACAGAGAGGACCACAGAGAGGACCACAGAGAGGACCACAGAGAGAACCACAGAGAGGACCACAGAGAGGACCACAGAGA